TCTTTTCAAATATACCAAAAATATTTATGTAATGAATTAAATCATTGAAAACAAAAAAAAAGTATACGATAGAAGAATATTTTTTAATTAATCGTTTTTTTTAATTTTAAATTTTTCTAATTCAAACGAAATTGAATTTATTTATTTTTGTAATTCAAACAAAATTAAATTTATTTTTGTAATTCAAACAAAATTAAATTTATTTTCTCTAAAATATTTGAAGTCAATTTGAGTAAGAAAGAGTTGAAATAAATCCTTAAAATTCTTGAAAAAGTTAAAATAAATTCTTAAAATTCTTTCACTTTTAAAATTAAATAAAATACAAATTTAGATGAGATACCAAGCAAAAGTATGCAACGAATTAAAGAAAGTATTCCAGTTATTATTGGAGCTGTTGGTGATGAGGTATGTTTAAATGTTTGTTACAATTCATCCATATATCACATATCAATTTATCAATTATCATAGCATAATTAACATAAATGAATAATTGTTATGAAGTTAGAAGAATTATGGATGTTTGATGTGCAAGCAATATGTGTCACGTGTATTACGTGTTTGACGTGCATCGTGTGTAATTAACAAACTTTTGATCAATTTATTTCAGAGTTTCTACCACTAATTAATGATTTATAGTAATATAAATTATGATTTTGAATGATAATAATATTTATTTTGGCAAATTAGCAAACAGTATTTGTGAAGTATTTAATTTGAAATTTGATTAAAAATTTATTAAATACATTAAATACATTCTAGTTAACTGGATATATTGCCTATAAATTTAAATGACTTAATTTTTTTTTTTTTTTTAGCAAGTATTTTTTTTTTGAATTCATGAACATATTTCGATAGCACTTTGCCATAGAAATGAAATTAATTTAATTGATTAATACTGAAGCGGGAAATGTTTCCGGAAATTATACAATAAGCTTAGAATTGAAGTAAACGGAAATTAAACGATTTAATTGATTGATATGTTATCAATAATATTATTAATCTAAATATTACAGTATCCAATTTTGCAACTATTGTTTATCAAAATTAACTATATATCTTTTTTTTTTTTTTTACCAATTCATTGATTTTTGATTTATTTTTTCAAAAAATATCAAAAGATAAAAATATATTTAAAGATTGAATTACATTGTCCTGCTACTGGTGCACCCGGTGTATACGGTGAAGTGAAATGGGAAAAAGTTAATGATGAATTACCGTATGCTTATTCAATTCGTCAAGGCATTCTACATTTAAATGATGTTAAACGAACGGATGAAGGTGTTTACAGATGCATCATACGAACTGATTCCGGTTTAGCAACTGTTACACATGTTCATTTGAAAGTTTCTGGTATTTGCTTCACTTGTTTCGCTTCTATTCCTGTATAATATTTTTCCAGTAGTATTTTTTATAATCCGGAAAAAAAATCCTGTATAATATTTTCCCAGTAGTATTTTTTATAATCCGGAAAAAAAAGGATCCTTTTTTCTTCAATCTTTATTAACAAATGTATTACTTGTAAATATATATGTTAAGCCTGAAAAAAAAAAAGAAAAAAATTAGTAAATTAAAGTGATTTGGAAATTTTTTCTTTTTTTTTTACGAATAGATTTTGTACCATTATTTGGTGGAAATGGTTATATGGAATTGAAACCATTAACGGATGAGCAATGGAATGATATCAATATGAAAATTTCATTCAAACCTAAATCACCGAATGGTAAGTAAGTAATTAAGTAAGTAAGTGAATAGGGATAATATGATAATTAATTTTTTTTGGAATGTAATTAAATTAACATAAATATAAATTTTTCACAATTTTTTTTTTTGTTCTTTAACTGTTTTTTTTTTAATATTTTTTATACTATTTTTATTTATTATCTTTTTTGCTATTTTTGACTTACTTTTTTTCTTTTTTGTCTATATTTGTTTAGAAATATAATTGGAAATGGAATTCAGAATTTGTTTCTTAAAAAGAATTATTAATAATTAGATTATTTATTCAGCAATATGTAACAATCCTGAAAATATTTCTTATTATCGAAAAATTTTGCAAATTCTTTTCCTATTTTTCAGAAACTTATACATTTAATCATTTCATTTCAGGTTTGTTGCTATATACAGAACGACAAAATTCGAATAATCCAAATGAAACAATCAATTATTTAAGTGTTGGATTAAAAAATGGCTTTGTAATTTATCGATACAATGTTGGTGCTGGATCAGGTTTTTCTTTTCTTTTTTTAAAATATATATCATATTTGTTTGAGCAGTTCCTATTCAGGAAAAAAAAGGATCAAAAATTTGTCATACTATTCAAATTATTCAATTAATTATAATTATATAGGAAAAAATTTTATATTATAAAAATTAATTTCTCAGTTTTCTTGTTTGTAATCATTTGATAAAAATTAAAATTATTAACTGATCAAAAAAAAATTTAATTCCAGAATAGATTAGCATTTGATATTAAGCATTTGCTATTATTATTCTTTTTTGTTTTTTTTCTTTTTTATTAAGTATTTGTTTATCTTTCATCTTAATTAACTTCATTTTTTATAGGAAATAAAAAATAAGTAATAAATAAACAAAAAATTAAATTCTACACTAATATTTGTTTATTCGAAATTAAAATTGAAATATAATAATTTATTATTTCTAAATAAACAATGTTTCTTTTCACCTTATTACTTTGTAATTTGCTTTATCATTTTTTTCTTCATTTATATTTTTTAGCTAAATTAATGAGTACTTATCCAGTGGTAATGAATGAATGGCATAAAATTGAAATTATCAATCAACCAAGTCAAGGTTTATTTTTCGTCTTTTATTTTTTTTAAGTTTTTTTTTTAAAACTTTTGTCGTATAATTTTGTGCAATTATCAATTTTAATTATAATTAAATTGATTAAGCTTAAATTAATTAATACGCATATACATATATTGCAGTAATGATCATTAGCTTCAATTATTTTCTAATTTTAAATTTAAAATCAATATTTGAGTAAAAAAATAAATAAATAAATGAGTATTTCATTGCAGCAACATTACTTGTTGATGAAGATGATATTATTGAACAGGATAATTATTATTTCAATACTAGTGAAGGTATATCAAATATTTTAAATATTGCTGGTACTAAAGATGAAGCAACAATGAAACGTTCAACATTTAATCAACCATTTGTCGGTATTATTTTAATTTCTTATTTTAATTTTAAATTTTACATAAAATTTTGCCATATTCTAAATAATGTAACTTTTTTCGTTATTTTTTAACTAAATTTAATGCTTTTATTTCGAACATTTTATTTCGTAATTAAATTTAATGTTTTATTTAAATATTTTATCTCTTAACTAAATTTAATATTTTATTTAAATAATACATTTATTTAAAATAAAAAAAATATTTGTTACAAAGGCATTTTTCCCTTTTTATTTCTTAATTAAATGATTTATCTTAAGTAATTTGTTTTGAAATTGATAAAATATTATTTGGAATATTTCATTTCATAACTAAATTTAATATTTTATTTGGAATGTTTCATTTCATAATTGAATTTAATGTTTTATTTGAATAATACATTTATTTAAAATAATGAAAAAAAAATATTTACTGTATTAGCACTTTTTCGTTTTTTATTTTTAATTAAATAATTTTTTTTAAATAATTTATTTTAAAATTGTCAAAATTCAAATTCAAATAGCACTTTTTTTTCTACATTTTTCATTTATTCATCATATAAAATTCAAACTATCACATTATTATTATTTCTTTTTTTCATTAGCATAAATTTTTGCATCCATTCTTTATTATGCTAATTTATGAAAAAATATTTATTAAAATAAAAAATAATTTGTTAATTTGTTCAAATAAATTTCCATTAAAGGAACAATTACTTCATTAACAATATCCGATGAAAGGATCAATTTTGGTGAAAATATTTTGACAAAATCATCAAATATAGAAAAAGATACGGCATGTTCATTAGGATTATGTCAACATAATTCCATTTGCATACCAACAAATGTCCATACTGGTTTCATTTGTGATTGCTCAAATGCCAAAGGTTATGAAGGTGAATTTTGTGAGCGCAAAATTCTAAAATGCGATCATGGTAATTCTTCGAATTTTCTTTTTTTTTTTTTATCATTTCCTATATTTAAGTCTTTTCTTTTGATTATTTAAAATGCACAAAAAATTTGACTAATTTATAATCGAATAATGGAATAAGCATTAGTGCCGAGTAATTAAGTTTTCAAATACTTTTTTTTAAGTAAAATTTTGCAAAAATAAGTTAGTTATTTTTTCTTATTTCCAAAATAATTTAAATGTAGGTAGGTATTGAAAATTATGAGAATACAATGAAACGATATATTTTGCTTTTTAGTTTTATAGGGAAGAGGAAGATATTAATTATTGCTAATTAATTTAGCTAAAAGATTAATGATAACTATAACTGATCAAATAATAACTACAATTATAGTGTATTTTAGATAAAAAGATAATTTTGATTAATTGTGATTGGTTACTTGTTTTTTTTTCTGCTTAAAATGGTAAATTTGATTTTTTCATTTGAAATAATTAGCATGATAATTTTAAAATAATTACCATACTATTGTTTTAAATGGAAAAATTGAAATATGAATTTTTAGCTTATGAATAAAAATTTAAATTATCATGTCAATAATTTTCCTTCGACTTAATTATAGTTGCTTAATTATACTTAATTACATGCAAATACATGACATATTCATATTGATAATTTCAAAAAAATTTTTTTTTTAAAGTTACTTGTGGAATTGGAACATGTGAATATCGATCAGATGGTACACAATTTTGTCATTGTCCAAATGGACGATATGGTGATCGTTGTCAACTTTTAGAAAGTGACAATATTATTGAATCAGTTCAATTTAATGGTGAAACTTCATACATTGTTTTACCAAAATCAAAAACACTTCGTAATTTTCGTGTATGTTTTTTTTTTTTTGTCATTTAATAGTAACAAACAAAATTTGAATTATTTTTATTTATTTCCTTCTTCTTTCTATTCTTTCTTTTTTTTTTCTGAATTTATTAAATTTATTCAAAAGTATTTATCTTTATGCTCATTAATTTATCGATAAAATGATAAATTATGAATTATTTGAGATATTTTTGATTATAATTCTTATAAAATGGAAATTTTTTTTTACGCAAACAAAAATTTAATCTGAATATATGTCATTCATCATAAAGAATTAGTAATAATTAAGTCATAAAATGATATACTTCCGGAAATATGCATATATATTCCCGGAAATCTTTCGCAATATTCGATTACATTCCGGTATTTTTGTAATAACTTAATTAGCTTGAATTATTTAATAATCATAAGCTTTATTAGTTTTAAATCTCAACTACTAACATTATTATTAATTACAATCATTTTAATTACTAACATCATTAATCATCCTTGCACAAATTACCAATCTTTTCTTTACAAACAATTAATAGTTATAGATTTGATTAATTAAAATAATTTCAATTTTAATTACCGAAATTATGGATTTTCTTTTTGTATAAATTTACAAATAATTTCATTATTAATTCCATTTTAATTCCATTACTTTAAATGATATTTTGCATTCAGCAGTTCTTGAATTAGATTTAACATTGTTTATTGTTCATTTTCATTTTGAATTTTCAATTAATTAATTATTTCGGTAAATTCAATTAGTCATTCATTCCATTTTCAACTAATTATTATATCACTCCTTAATTATATTCAATTCAATTTTAATTCCATTTCTTTAAATGATATTTTGCATTCAGCAGTTCTTGAATAAGATGTAACACTGTTTGTCGTTCATTTTCATTTTCAATTTTCAATTAATTAATTATTTCGATAAATTCAATTAATTAATTAATCATTCTATTTTCAACTAATTATTCTTTAATTATATTCATCCATAAAACATATATCATTCGCTTATACAATTATAATTTAGCTAAAAATGGAAATTGAACCACGATCAACAAATGATCAATTATTAGCATATCAAGCAAGTGATTACAATCCAAAACGATCCAATTATTTAGCACTTGCTATACGTCGTGGAAAATTTGTTTATCTTTACAGTAGTAGCGATGGTTTGTTTGTTTATCTGTATAGCAGATAGCGATAATTTGTTTATTTGTTTATTTGTTTGTTTTTTCTTTACAGTAGTAGGATGGCTCGTTTGTTTCCATTTCATGAATTAATTTAATGAAAACTTATTTACATAAATTCTAAAGCATATAAGACTTTTTCCGCTTTTTTCTTTAATTAAATTAATAAGCCATAGAGTTTACTCTTTTTTTTGGATGAATAATTTACCGTACTTTTTGAATGCTTAATTTTTTTTCGATATTTCGGTTGCTTTTTGAATTTTTTTTTCTTTGAAACGAATTTTTCATTGTTCTTTTTAACAAATCAATTTTTTTTTTTTGCTAAACATAAAAATTTTTCATTTATATTTATAAGAAAAAGAAAGTTTCATTTCTTTAATTATATGTAATTTTTCATTCATAATTATTTTTAGGTAATATAGAAATTGAATCATCGGATGAAGTGAAAATAAATGTACCATATCAGCTTGACCTAAAACGATTTGGTAATCGAGCTGAATTACGAATAAATGGTACGAAAATTCCAATTCGTGGTAAACTTTCAACATTTTTACCAGGTACTAATTTATTCATTGGTGGTATACCGTCGGGAATTATGGTAAATCCGAGAATTGGTGGTGCAGCATCATTTAAAGGATGTATTTCAAAGGTATTATTATTTTTTATTTTTCAAATTAAATATTCAGAAATTCATTTCCTAGCTTTGTGATGATATTTTTTTTGTTGTACAAATAATCCAAATAAAGTCATTTGTTTAACACATAATCGCCATTGTTTTATTATTATTAATTATTATTATTATTATTATTATTATTATTATTATTATTATTATTATTATTATTAATTATTATTTGGATATATTTGCATCATTTATGAATCCTGAAAAAATTTGAAATAGGATTACTTTAACTGTAAAATAACTTTACCTAATTAATTTTCGTTTTATTAAAGATTGTTTTAAATGGAAATGATATAAATTTGGCGGAAATATTGAAAAAATCATCACATGATGTGACGATATGTCAACCATATAAGAATGGTGACAATGTTGACATTCATGTACCATTCATTTGGACAACATTATTACCACCAAAACCTACAACAAAACCTATTGCAACATCAACTTTTGTACAAATGAAATTAATGGAAAAGAATAATGAAATAATTGATGAAATTGGAACAACAGATATGATGATATTGCAATCAAACGATACTACAAAAGCATTATCATGCATTGGTGATGGTAATAAATTTTATTTTTTTTTCATTTTTTTTTTTATTTCAATTATTTCACTCAAGTTTTATCAATTAGTATTAATACTAACTAATTACCGATTGATGATAATTAATTAATCGAATACCTGAAAAAAAATTACATATATTTAAAATAATTAAACGATACAAGCATTATAGAGTAAGCAAATAAAAAACAATAATTAATCATTATATAAGTTTATTTTAAAGTGAAAAAATAAAAATAAAAAAAGTAATGGGAAAAACAAAAACACATTTAAATTATAATGAATTATGTAAGATTAATATAAGTATTATAATAAATTAAAAAAAAAGGAATGTTTTTTTTAAATATTTTTCTTTATAAAATTTAATAATAATGTGTTTAAACTGAATGTGACAATTTATATAATTTTATGTAATCATAATTTTGACGTTATTAATAATTATCATTCTTATCAATGATAGTTATCTTCTCAGATTGCGCAGTTCAATACACGTTAGATATATCAAATGGTTCAAATGAATGATAAGTTATATAATTCAATAATAACTTATAACGATAACTTATATAATTTTATGTAATCATGATTTTGATGTTATTATTATTAATATTATTATTATCGATGTTAATTATCTTTTCTCACATTGTACAATTCAATATATACGTAATATAATATGTGGCAGATGTGTATAAGTTATCATATAAGTTATTAGTATAAGTTATCATCCGTTACATAATTTCACGTAATCATGATTTTTGATGCTATTATTATCATTATTATCATTATTATTGCTATTATTATTACAATCAATGATAGTTATTTTCTCAGATTGTGCATTACAATGTACACCAGATATATGTGGTGATCATGGTGATTGTGAAATAATTAATGGGACACATATCGTATGCTCATGCCGTGATTATTATGATGGAATAAATTGTGAAATTTGTTAGTTTTTCATATATTAAAATTAAATTTTAATTTATTCCGATTAAATATTTCATAATAATTTCTGTTAAAAAATTTAATTAATTAATGTAAATAAAAGGAAGAAATAAAAATAAATTATTAATTTTACAGTTAAACCAATTGAACATGCGGCAAAATTTGATGGAAAAGCATTTATTGTATTTTCCATTGATGATTTT